CCGCCCCCTGGGGGGCCTTGCGATCTGCGCAAATGTCGCCACTTTCGTGGGCTCCTGGGAGGCCCAGCGGAGGTACGTCATACGCGGACCACCTCGGGACCTCGCCGCCCCCTGGGGGGCTTGCGACTGCGCAACCGTCGCCACTTTCGTGGGCTCCTGGGAGGCCCAGCGGAGGTACGTCATACGCGGACCATCTCGGGACCTCGCCGCCCCCTGGGGGGCTTGTGATCTGCGCAACTGTCGCCACTTTCGTGGGCTCCTGGGAGGCCCAGCGGAGGTACATCATACGCGGACCACCTCGGGACCTCGCCGCCCCCTGGGGGGCCTTGCGATCTGCGCAACTGTCGCCACTTTCGTGGGCTCCTGGGAGGCCCAGCGGAGGTACGTCATACGCGGACCACCTCGGGACCTCGCCGTCCTCTGGGGGGCTTGCGATCTGCGCAACTGTCGCCACTTTCGTGGGCTCCTGGGAGGCCCAGCGGAGGTACGTCATACGCGGACCACCTCAGGACCTCGTCGCCCCCTGGGAGGCCTGCAATCTGCGCAAGTGTCGCCACAAAGTGTGATGTCGGACGAGCTGCGTTAAGACGTCTTCTGTTCTAGATGGGGCTCTCGCTCTAGACATCCTCGACACTAGCGAAATGGGGATCTCGCGCTGGACATCTCTTCTTGCGCGCGAGGGGATCTCGCTCCCGTTCCTCTTCTTGCTGCGCTCTTCTGAAATCACTGCTGGGTGCTCTTCTTGCGCACTGCGGGTCCTTCATAATGCAAGTCAGCATTGAATGGTCCTGAGTTTCATCGCCACATGTACAGAAAGGGTTGGGTACGTCACAGGTTAATGGTTGTTGTTATTGTTGTTGATCCCCCTTGCGCGGTAACCATTCTATATTTTCCATCGAAGTGCTTCTCCCGTGGCTCCACCTTGTTTTACAAGGGAAAGCGAGGTGTCACCAAACTGCGCCCCTGGCCGCTGGTTTACAACAACAGCGGCTCCCGCCTGGTATTTCTTCACAATGTATTCCCAAAGGGCATTGTCGCGCGGGACCTCCTCACAATTTATCAGGAATCGCGTTGTCGCTTGGGACTTCCTTGCGATTGATTCAGGCGCTGCGCCCTCGACGCTCAGGAATCACGCTCTCGCTTTGGATTTTCTCGCGAGATTTATTGGGAATCGTGCTGTCGCTCAAGGCTTCCTCGCGATTCATGCAGGACGCACGCTTCAGAAGCCCGCCTGCTCGACCTGGCCGTCTGGGCCCGCCTTCCCGACCCGCCCGTTAGGGTCTACCCACCCGATCTGTCCTTTTGGTTCTGCCACGTGTTTTCTGCTCCTGGCCCCCCTCCTGCTACTCTCTCTCATGCTCCATCCTCCTCCCTCCCTCTTATCCCTTCCTTCCATCCGTCCTCTCTTCCCCTGCCTTAGGGGCTGCACGAAATACACGTTGCAGGTAAGAAAGGTATACACCCCCAAGGGGGTACGATCGAAATCGAAGAGGGCGGGTATCGAGGGTTTGGGATATATCTGATGAGTGGCTCGCGAGCAGATGAGGGCGAATAGTCTCAACATGTTTGTTGTTGAATATTCATTTCTAACACATGTTTCGCGCTCTCGCCTCGACGCGGGCTACATTTTCTTTGAAACCGAGGCTCCCGCTCTAGCGTTGGCCTGAGCCCAAATGTGGGCCCTTGGAAGCCCAGCTGCGACAATAACGGCTCCCGCTCGATACTTACTCACGGTTTATTTCGAGACATCCTGGCCAGAGAGGCCCCCGAACTCTGGAACGGCGTTCTCGCTCGAGACTTCTTCGCAATTCAATCGAGTTGGCGGAGGCCCAGCCACGACGACAAGGGCTCCTGCTCGATAACTCCTCACGATTTACTTCGAGAGCTCCTGGCCAAGAAGGCGCCCGAACTCAGGAACGGCGCTCTCGCTCGGGGCTTTCCCGCAATTCAGGCAAGTTGGTGGAGGCCCGGACACGGCGACAAAGGCTCCCGTTCGATATTTCTCCATAGGTATTCCGAGAAACCCTGGCCAGAGAGGCCCCCGAACTCAGGAACGGCGCTCTCGCTCGAGACTTTTTCGCACTTCAGTCAGTGGCCGAGAAGGAAGAGATTTCCCCCGAAAGTGGGTGCAATCGAGGACGAAGTGGGCGGGTATCGAGGGTTGGGGTATACGGAACGCAAAACACGTGCCAGTAAGAGCGAACAGTCTTAGAACATTGTTGTTGTTGTTGTTGTTGTTGTTGTTGTTGTTGTTGGTGTTGTTGTTGTTGTTGCTGTTGTTGTTGTTGTTGTTGTTGTTATTGTTGTTGTTGTTATTATTATTATTGTTACTGCTGCTGTTGTTGTTATTGTTGTTGTTGTTGTTGTCGTTGTCGTTGTCGTTGTCGTTGTCGTTGTTGTTGTTGAACATTATTACTTCTAAAGAATAATTATTGTTGGGACCCCTGGTGCATGGCCCCCTCGCCGCGCCTAGGCCGCAGCCACGTTTTCATCATTCTCGTGAGGAAGTCTCAGGCAAAACGGGTTGGTCCGGATCCGGTTGTGTTGTTACGATCGGTTTTCCCTTGCAAAAAATAAGCTAAAGTGGACATTTCTTGTTCTAACATAACCAAACTTCAAGAATCCCTTGCAAAAAATAAGGTAAAGTGGACATTCGCGCGCGCAAGACGAAATCCTTCCAAAACCTTAGTTTTCGTAGCGATTTTAACATAAAAACATCAAAAAACCAATGGTTTTTCAAAAAAAATGTCAAAATCTCATCCCGCGCGCTCTTGCGGATTCGTAGGAAACCCAACACTTTTTAAACATTTCTGTCAAACGGGCTTTTGCGAGCAACTTTTTCGAACTTCTGCAACAACGGTTGCGCACCTGCCAGGGCCATCATCCCTGTCAAATAATACCATGCGGGACACATTCGTTTTTTCTTCGCGCGCGCACGCCGTCGTCGTCGGCCGCGGGGCCCTGAATAGTAGCCACGGTCGTCCGCATGCCACGAAGTGAAGTGTCCGAACGTCATAGGGCGGGAAGCTGGGTGTGGGTGGTGGCGAAGAGTCGTTTGGAAATTTGGTAGAGCTTGAACCGGCCCCCCCACAAAGTGGGGGTATTGCCCGCCTCCTATGAAAACCCTGGCACTGGTGAGAACGGAGTGTCCCCACGTGCTAGTAATTGTTGTTGTTGTTGTTGTTGTTGTTGTTGTTGTTGTTGTTGTTGTTGTTGTTGTTGTTGTTGTTGTTGTTGTTGTTGTTGTTGTTGTTGTTGAGTTCTCATTTCTGAAGAATAAGTATTGTTGATCCCCCCCACCGGTGCATATTGTTTTTCTCAATCAAAGTGTGCCCCTCGACGCTCGCACCCTGTTTTTTGACAGGGAAAGTCTTCCTGCTCAAACTGGGCCCCTGGCCCCCGGGTTACAACAACAACGGCTCCCGCTTGAGACTTCCTTACATTTTAGCCAGGACCCCCGCTCCCGCACGAGACTTCCTCGCATTTTATTCAGGAATCGCGCTCTCGCTGGGGACTTCCTTACAATTTATTCAGGAATCGCTCTCCCGGCGCTCTGGAGTCGCGCTCTCGCTGGAGACTTGCTTGCAACTTACTGAAGAATGGCCTTGCGTTGGAATTTCTTGCAATTTGCCCAAGCGCCGCACTCCCGACATCCAGGCACCCAGGAGTCGCACCCGTTGTGGCCCCATGTGCATGCCCTTCGTGGCCCCGCTGTCGCCATTTGTGTCCCCCCCCACTGTCCTACGTGGCCCAGTTGCTACCCTCAGTGGCCCCATAGTTGATTTCTGTGGCCCCGCATTATCTGCACTTCGTGGCCTCCGCTCGTTCGCGCTCTTCGTGGCCCCATAAGAATTCCCTTCGTGTCCCCGCTGTCGCCCTTCGTGGCCTACTTCGTGCCCTTCGTGGCCCTGCTGTCGTTCTCTCTCGCTCTCGCTTTCGCTCGTCGTCGCCGTCGTCGTCGTCGTCGCGGTCGTCTTCGACGTCGTCGTCGTCGTCGTCGTCGTCGTCTTCGTCGTCGTCGTCGTCGTGGTCGGTCCCCTGTCCGTCCCTCTTGGGGTCGGGTCGACGGTCCGCGGCCGCCCCGCCGATCAGCGCTGCCGCTGGCCAGGCCGACGGTCCGCGGCCGCCCCGCCGCTTGCCGGGGCCCGGCCTGCAGGGAAGAAAGGTATACCCCCCAAAAGGGGTTCGATCGAAGACGAAGAGGGCGGGTATCGAGGGTTTGGGAAATACGCGTTATTGGACACTCGAGCATATAAAGGGCGATCGATCTTAAGATTGTTGTAGTTGTAGTTGTAGTTGTAGTTGTTGTTGTTGTTGTTGTTGTTGTTGTTGTTGTTGTTGTTGTTGTTGTTGTTGTTGCTTCAGTGAAGACTAAGTATTGAGCCCCCCTCCTGTGCACATTGTGTATTTTTCAACTGAAGTGCCCCTCCTGGCGCTCGTACCTGGTTTTTTATCCGGGAAAGTCTTCATCCTCAAACTGTGCCCCAGCTTATAAAAAACAGCGGCTTCCGCTTGATATCTCATCGAAATTTACTCTGGTCCCCCGCTCCCGCTTGAGACTTTTTCGCAATGTACTCAAGTATCGCGCTCCCGTTTGAGACTTCCTCGCTTTACTCAGGCGCCGCGCTTTTGCTATTCAGGGATCGCGCGTTCGCTTGCTCAAACTTACTTATGATTTGCTCCCTCGATGGGAACTTCTGGCTAATCACGCATAACTCACGAAATACTATATACCCACCAAAAGTGGTATGAGCGAAGACGAGGAGGGCGGGTATCGAGGGTTCGGGAAATGCACGCGTAATGACATTCGAGCAGATAAAGAGCGAACAGTCTTGAGATGATTGTTGTGGTGGTTGTCATTGTCGGGGATTATGATGGTGATGCCCATGATGATGGTGATGCCGATGATTCGGATCACAACGCTGTTGTTGATTATGATGATGATGGTGAATATGATGATGGACGTGTGGTGGCTGACGAGGACGGGGTTCGTCCGACTGCCAGCGCCAGTCGGGACGCCGGACCAACTCGCCCGTTTTGCCCCGCACGGCGGGGGGTACCGATGGACACCATGCTGCTGGCGCGGGAGCACCCGAACCTGAAGGTCAACGCCATCACTCCAGGCGGGCGGCCCCCCAGACGTTCCGCCGCTGCCGCTCTAGGGCGGGCAGGGGTTGGGGGAGGGGAGAAGGCAGAGGGGGCGGGGAGGGTGCGGAGGTCAGCGGCAACTCTCGCAGCCTTGCACCCCCGAGGGGTGCCCGCGGAGTTTCGTTCGCGTTTTTTTCGCGCAGCCGTTGGCGTGTGCCGGCCTCGCCGAGCGGGTTGGCGCGGGGCGACCTCCAGACGCTCCGCCGCTGCCGCTCGGTTTCTACGCCTCCTCCAGAGGAGAGCTGTGAGCCATGCCGTCGCCCCAGGGGCGCCAAAACAGCCACGCGTCCGGCATCGTGGGCGCGGTGCTCCGAGTTGGGTGGCCCAGATGAGGACGAGGAGGAGGATGACGAGAAGGAGGGCGAGGAGGAGGAGGAGGAGGACGACGAGGAGGAGGACGAGGAGGAGGGCGAGGAGGAGGAGGAGGAGGAGGAAGAGGAGGACGAGGGGGAGGAGGAGGAGGAGGAGGAGGAGGAGGAGGAGGAGAGGAGGAGGAGGAGGAGGAGGAGGAGGAGGAGGAGGAGGAGGAGGGCAGCAGGAGGAGAGGAAGAGGAGGAGGAGGAGAGGAGGAGGAGGAGGAAGAGGATGACGAGAAGGAGGGCGAGGAGGAGGAGGAGGACGAGGAGGAGGAGGAGAAGGAGGAGGAGAAGGAGGAGGAGGAGGAGGAAAACGAGGAGAAGGAGGAAGAGGAGGAGGAGGAGGAGGAGGAGGAGGAGGAGGAGGAGGAAGAGGAGGACGGGTGAGAACTCGCGGTCTCGAGGGGTCACGGTCGTGACAGGTGCCTATTTTTTGGGGCCCGAGTCGTGACAGAATTGAGCGCCAGAAAGCCCCACAGACGGGTGCTGAAACGCAACACAGACGCACCCACACCCACACCCACACCCACACCCACACCCACGCCCACACCCACGCCCACACACGCAAACACACAAACACACAAGCATACGCAAACGCACAAGCACACACAAACACACAAACACACACAAGCACACACACAAACACACAATCACACACAAACACACACAAACACACACACAAGCACACACAACGCACAAACACACAAACACATACCAACACACACAATCACACAAACACACAAACACATACAAGACACACACGAACACACTTTTTTGCACCAACAAGCGGGAGCCCAGTGGCAGAGCGCGGTGGGACGGCACGACGACGACGAAAGCGCCGGACGACAGACGAACGGCAAGCGCGCGGGGCGGGGAGGGGCGGGGGAGGGGCGGGAGGGGGGAGGGACGCGCGCCGCGCGCTGCCCGCCGGCCGGCGGGTGGTGGCCATGCGCCCGCGCCCCAGCGGCCGCCGCCTGGCCGGGCAGCGCCAGCCGCGAACCCGGCTGGCCTGGCTGGCCTCGTCGGGCTCAGGCCTCACTTGCCCGCCCCAGGCGGCGACCCAGGACGCTCTCGGCGGCCTGCCGGCGTCCCCGCGCGTCGGGGATACCCTCGCCGGCCTCCAGGATCCGGGCACGTGCTTCGCGGAAGCCACGTCCGCGAAGCTACACGCGCAGCGCCTGCGCCAGCGCGCGCGCCGCAGCCCAGCCCGAGCTGCCCAGGCCACCGCGCAGCGCCTGCAGGCACTCGCTCCTGCCGGTGCCGTCGGCCTCCTGACCGTCGCCCTCCCGCTAGGGGGGGAGGGCCGGGACCGGCGCGTCCAAAGCGCCGGCGCGGGCGGCGGCGCTAGGCGCCCCGTCCGCCTCCAGCCGTCGCCTAGGCCCGCCGCAGCAGGGAGGGCCGGGGGCGGCTCCGCCCCCCGCGCAGGGCCCGTCGGCCGCCCGCTCGCCGCGGCGCCCTGCCCGCCTGGCGGCCCGGGGCGGCGCCGCCACCGCGTGGCCGCCGCCGGAGCCCTCGCCGCCTGCGGCGTCGTCGAGCAGGTCGGCCCAGGACGGGGCCCTCGACAGGCCAGCCATAACTGGGGGAGCTGTGGTCCTTACCCCCCCGGGGGATCCATCGATCTCGGCACCCCTCTCGAGAGATCGTCGATGCGATGGGTTCCCCCAGGGGGGCAAGGACCACAGCTCCCCCAGTTCTGGCTGGTCGGCTCGAGTCGGGGGTGTGCAGCGCCCAGTCGGCACCGTGCTCCGACTCAATGGGCTGCACCCTCTTGTCCAGCTCCACGGCCTCGACTCCGCGGGGCATCCGGCCCGGGCTCAGTGGCTCCAGCGCAGGAGCTCACAAGCACACACAAGCACAAACACACCCAAACACATAAACACACACAAACACACAAGCACACACAAACACACAGACACACAAGCACACACACAAACACACACACACACACGCAAACACACACATACACACAGACACACACACACAAACACACATATACACACAAACACACACACACACACTCACACAAGCACAACATTGCACACACATGCAAACACACACGCACACAAATACGAACACCCACACAACACACACACAAGCGCACACACACACGGAGACATACACAAATACACAGACACACACACACACACACATACACGCACGAACACACACAAACACACACAAACACACACACACACACACACACACACTAGCACACACGCAAACACAAACACACACAAACACACACAAACACACACGAACACACAGACACACACACAGCAACACACATAAGCACACACAGTTCAAGCCAGCGGCGCAGATGGTCCTAATGCTGCTGCGAATGATGCTGCTGCTGATGATGATGGCGTTGCTGCTAATGATGATGATGATGACGATGATGATGATGATGACGATGATGATGACGATGATGATGATGATGATGATGATGTGATGTTATGTGGATGATGGAGGTGATGAGGTTTGTGATGGTGATGAAGAATATGGAGGTAGTGATGCTGCTGTTGATGATGCTGCTGCTGCTGATGACGATGCTGCTGATGGTGGATGGTGGTAAGCGACAAGGAGGGTGATGATGATTTTGAGGACGATCAGGAGATGGATGATTATGATGATGCTGATCATGATGCTGCTAATGATGATGATGCTGATGATGATGATGAGGATGCTGATGATGATGATGATGATGATGATGATGATGATGATGGTGATTCAGGTGGGTGAGGGTGAGAATGGGGAGCAGGGGGAGCACGAGGAAGAGGATGCCACCCCGTTCGACAGCGTTAGTGTCTGTGCAACAGGACAGGGGGCCAAGGCTTCTGCCGTGGTCACCGTCCCCTAAGCTATCGAGCACCATCAGGACAGATCGTTCTCCTCGTTCTTCTAGTCATCCCTGCTCTTTCTTCTCGTCCCTTCGAGGGTGGAACCTCCGAATCTTGCCCTCTCGCCCTCCTCGTTGTCCGACGGCGACGGCGGCGTGGCCTTCCCCTGGCGTCCTCGACCTTCAGGGTACATCCTGACCGACATGACCAGGAACGCGGGCGCGACCAAGTCTCCCGAGGATCGCCGGGGCACGCCCTTTCTTTTCCTCCCTCTCTTTCTCTTTCTCTCTCCCTCTTCCCTTCTCTCTGTATATATATATGTTATATACATGATGCATAAGCACCTCTTGGCTCTAGCGATTTCCGTGGGGCTGGTGGAGGCACCAGGCAGGCAGGGCATGCCTGCCCGAACACAGCGGGCGCCGCGCACACGTGCTCCCTTCGACGCGCGATGACGACGACCGCTCGAGCCACTTTCCTGACGCTCGCGGTCTTCAACCCGTTCAGCTTGACGGGCACGCGCGGCCAGGAGGTCAGCGCAGAATTGCGCCAGCTCCACATCGTCGGCTGCCCAGGCACGAAGATCCCCAAACACGCCCGCACCACACGCAAAACTTCAAGAACCACATCGCCATCCATTTCGGCTACGGCAAGCACAGCACCCACGTCAACAACTTGGCAGGCTGCGCGATCCTATGGAACAGCTCCCGCTTCAAGACGCGTCACATCAAGGACATCCGCGCCCCACTCCCCGAACTACAAGGCCGCGGAGGCACCGTCGTCATCGACCAGGGTGCCACCACGCAGAAGATCATCACTGCCTACTCTCCTCCGATGCCATGGGGCAGGAAAAACAGACCACAATGGAAGACCACTTTTACGAAGGTGGTCCACGTGGGTATGCTTTGATATTCTCGCAAGGCCCTCCCGCTACACCCCGATTTGGGTGATGGGCCTGAACGACCGCTTCACCAAGGGCCCCGATGGCGACGAAATGGTTGGCGAGTTCCCGACAGGCAAGGAAGGCGAGGCAGGCAAGATCTACCACCACATGTGCGTGACCACCCACATGGCAGTGGCCAACACGTACTACGACACGGGCCCGACGTATGACGGCAATCGCCCCAACGTGGCGGACTACATTCTCTCCCCACGGGTTTGATTTCGCGCATCCAGCATTGCCGAGCATGGAATCACGCGGCACACGCCCCTTCAGCCTTCACGTCGTTTCAAGGACCACAAGCCGTTGATCCTCAAGCTGGAGGTACCGCCCGCATGCCACACCATTGGGTAAGAACTACCAACACCTGGCTCGTGACGCCCTCGCGATGGGCCTCAAGGAGGGCTACAAGCGCGTGGAGTTTTTGGAGAGCCTAGAGACCCAGCTCACCGCCCACCGCGCCCAGCTCGAGGGGTACCTCGCCGACCCCGACGGCACGCGCCACTGGGGCCTCTCCATGCAGTGCTTCCGCGACGCCGCCCTCGAGCACTTCTCGGCCACCGCGCGCCGCCCAGACTGGTATCGACAAGCGCGCGGCCACAAAGTACAGCTCTTACGACAACGCGCATTCTTACGACAATGACTTCACGCTGCTGAGGACGCCCACACTCACGAGGCACAACTACAAGAGCTCGACGACGCCATCACCGACATCAGCAATAAGCCCCGCCGCCACATGGAGGACACCAATCACAAGTATCAGGGAATGTAGAGTGACGACCTGCGGCAGGCTTGGCGTGAGCGACGTCTCGCAGAGTGCCATCGCATCGCCGAGACCATGCTGCGCAACAAACTACGAGCTCGCAAGCGCTACTGCGGCATCCTTTCCTGCTCCCGACCCAGCATGGACCAGTGGCGGCAGTTTCTTCGACGACCAGGCGCTGGGGGGGCCCCCTCGCAGTGCCCGCCCCAGTCCATGCGCCTACTCGCGAGCAGCTTGCGCCGCCGCCACCCGCAGGCCAACCGGGCGCTTCAGGAGATCAACGAGATGTGGCTACGACGTCTCAGGCCACCACTACACACCCGCGCGCGCTCCTATGACGCTGGCGCCGCTCCCGCCAGATGGACGAGCCCCAGGTGCAGCCCTCGCCGCGACACCTGCGACTGCGATTCCTACCGGATGCAGGACCTCAGCTGCGACGGGATTCAGCACGCTCGAGGAGATTCCGCCTTCTCCGCCTACCCCTTCGCAACACGATCGAAACGCTTTAAGAGCATGTTGGCGCGCGTCCTCCCCGCGCCGCATCGCCGACAACGCGAAGCACATGGGTAATGCCGAAGTGGATTTCGATGACATGATCGACCAGGAACTCGACGACATGGCGAACCAGGCGAGCAGTACAACTCACAACCGACTAGGAGCTCTAGGACCACCGCCTCCTCCACCGCCATCGAGCCAGCCAGCGACGACCGGCCGGCCATCGCCAGCGGCGACGACCTCGGGCGCAGGTCAGCATTTGCATGTTGATGTTGTGATCGAGGCGTCTGGCGAGCTGGCCGCGGTCGCCGAACTGCTCGGTAAAACGAAGCGGAGGAAGTATGCGCCCCCTATTCGGTCCCAGCGGGGATCTTACTCATGGCGCTGCAACCTGAGATGCTACGGCGACCGGGGCGACCACGGGGCGGCGTCGGGGCCATCGACGCTTCTGACGGGGAGGAGAACCCATCCAAGCGGAAGCTCCAACTACCTCGACAGCATCGATTGGGTAGGTCCCGACTTCTTGCTAGCCTCGCCCACGCGCGTCAGCATCGACGAGTACCCATGCAGGCCAACACCTCCCAGAGCTTCCAACTCGACAAGGGTGAAGCGATATTGGGCCCTTTCGGCCTCCGCCTCATCCACTGCTTCGACGTCTTCTGGAGATGCTTTTATCGGCATTTACGAAAACGAGGCTTACCTGCGCGACCGCCCGACTGCGCCTGCGGTGGCATCCCTCACCGCCGACGAGAGTTCGGCATGCTCGTGGCGAGTGTCGTCGCCAGCAAACTACGCCGGGCAAAAATCGCATTTGCGGCTCGCTCCCGCGACGGACGCAACGCATTCGGATGCGCGAACCACGGCGCGATTCCGCGACCACATGCTCCCCGCCTTTCGAGCTGACGACCGCGTTCTCGTTCAACGACGCCGAGCCGATTCTCAGACCATCATCGAGGCTAGCGACGGCGCGCCCATCATGAGGAACCGAGAAGGAGGCCTCTTGGGATGCTCCGAAGAGCCCGACGCCTTCATGAAGGTCTACAACCACGCCCTGGAGGAGTGGCGACAGGCGACCGCGCGCACCCACGCCAGCATCATGCCCCAGTCGTGCGTCCCCTCCTGGGGCTCCGAGGGCCCGCTGCGGGACTTGAGCCGCCGGGTGTTTGTCGACGATATCTGGAGGTTTCACATCGTTCCTCGCGTGGGCCCCCGACGACAGGCGATCGATCCCAACGGCCAACTCCGCGTGCCGCAATCAACGAGGTCCAGGCGGTCACCGACGTCATCAACCGCGACCTCGTGGCACTTCGTCGATCACAACGCCAGGGGGGGGTTCGGCTTGAACGAGTGAGATCGTCGACGGCGCCCTTTCAAAGACGTATCATCGCGCGTTCTTCGCGGACCCCAGCATCACCTGCTGGCGCCTGGCCGCGGTGAAGCACGTGGGCGGCGTGTTTGGGGCAGCCGGCGCACGATGGTGCCAATGTCGCCACTTCTGGTTCAGCCGAGCCCCGCCGACGATTTAAACGGCTCGTTTTCCAAGCCGTCGTGCACGGGGCGGCCGTCAGCGCCGCCGAGACCTACTACCTCTACGCCACCGGCTACAAGAAGCTCGACGTCTGCCTGGGCAAGAAGCAACGGGCCATGCTGCAGGGCAAAGGGTGCCAACGCAACCGCGACCGCTACACGTTATTGCAAGTCGCTGCTTTATAGAGAAGATGGCATTTGGTTCCAACATCGATCGAGCTCAAAGTACGACGACTTAAACCCCTTTAAGGTGCAGTTGCCTATCCCGACGAAGCTCAACATCTCGTGTCTGCAGTGCGTGGCGAACTTCGACTGGGACACCTACTTCGAGAACATGATTTCCCCGTGGCGCCGCGCGCGCTCACCGGCGATGGCTGCGTCGACCCCGACGCCCGCGCAATTGCCAGACAGCTCTCGACGGACCTACAGGGCCTCCTCACCTACGACGCCGCCGAGCCCCTGGAGCTGCTGAACTGGTCGGGCAACATCATCGCGCTGTTCGCCGACGCAGGTAGCCGAGGCCTTCTGCGGGATCGACGTGGGCACCCTCGGGGCCTCATACCTTCGTCGCGCCATCGCGCCGCCAGGCGCCTGTGCCGAGCCGCCCTCAGATCTCGCCCCTTCGGCAGAGGCCGAACTGCACGCTTGCTGGCTAAAAACGTCGACGGGGGCCCCCTCCATGAGAGTCTGGAAGTCAATGCGAGCATTGCGCGCGCACCAACGGGGACTCACACCGGGCGGGAAACGCGGCATGCGTTGCGTGCTAGCTCAGATCACGATCACGAACGAGTGCATCATATGCAACGCGACCTTTCATCGCTTTCGGGCGCGCAGCACCGCGTCGCAGCAGCCTGGGGAGCACGCGCATGCAGAACGGATCAGACTTGGCTCCCATATCCGATCGCCCCCCCCCAAGAGCCTCGCGTGCCCCATCGGCGCGGATACATTCGACTAGTACGGCGCACTTCGAGCGCATTTCCGTAGTCGCTTGCCTCAGAGCTACGCGTTCACACGCCTCCGTTCTCTCGCCCGCAGCTTGGGAACCCCGATGACGACGGCGGCGGCGCCGGCTGCCGAGGCGACGCTGCGGGCGTTCAGGCGCCCCCCGCGGGCGCCCCCCTTCGCGTCTGGGAATGGTGGCGCCGGCGGCGCCAGGGAGGGGGGGCCCCGCAGCCAGGGGCGCCGTCGCATGGGCCGCGCCGAGGGCAGCCAGCTGGAGGGCGACAAGTCTGAGGAGAAGCTAGACCCCAGGAAGGCCCCCATCACTCGCGCGCGCCGCCGCAGGGGTGCAGCGCTCAAGGCGAAGGCAGAGCCCAAAGTGTCTAACGAGATGAAGGACCTCATCATCGCGCTCGTCCGAGCGACCTACCAGAACACGATGCAGATCCGCGAGCTCAAGGGATGCTTCATCGCGACGATCAGGGCCCTTGGACTTTTTTAAGTCGAGACGATCGAGAGGGAGAACAAGAACTACGCGAAAGCAATCTGATAGTAATGATAATCACACGGAATGGCCCCCCAGCGCTTGGTGCTGCCTTCGCCACGATGGAGTGCCCGGCCAGCCTCGACATCGGCAGCGAGAGCTTGAGAAGTTCAACGGGATGGGCGAGTACCAGGTGCAGGACGTGTTCCCGGCATGCAAGATCGAGAAGGCCGACGAGAGCGGCCAGGTGAAGATCTTCTTCAACTGCAGGGACTACGAGATCCGCCAGAGCATCATGACGGCCTTGCACAACGCCCAGAAGACAGCGTGCGTGGGCCCAGCCCAGCGGGCTTCGTGGAGGACGAGCTCGCGTTGTGGCTCGACGCGATGGTGGGCGACGTGTGAAGAGCTCGAGCAGATACTCGCCCCTGCTGCCGTTCGGCTCCCAGGCCCGCCACATGTCAGGGGACATCGTGCCGCGACTGCCGCTGATGAGATGACCGTCGATGTCGAGTCCATGCGACGCCTAAAGTCGACCTCAGCTGCGACGGGTCTGAGTGCGCTAGAGGAGACTCCGCCCTCTCCGCCCACCCCTTCGCAACATGATCTAGACGCTTGAAGAACATGTTGGCTTGCGTCCTCGGCTCCTGCTCGTGATAGGCATGAGAGGCCCCGTGGGGCGGCATCTTCCGCTCCTCCCCTCCCAGAATGCCAGAGCACCCCTCCTCGCGGCTCGCGGTCGAGGGCGAGGGGGCGGCAAAGGCCGCGCCCGCGGTCAGAGGTGAGCGGGGTTGTGGGCTCGCCGGTGTCGTGCCGAGCCGCTCGCGACCACGTGCGCGGCGCCTTTCAGGAAGACGCCCTATGAGGGCGAGCGCCGTCTAGGTTCCTGTGCTATGTCAGTCGTTTTGCTCAGAGGAACTTTGGACATTTTGGTGTTAAGAGTGAGTGCGTTATGCAGAAGCCCTCCCCGATGGCCGCCCACCATTCCTTCTGGACGGTGCCCCCCAGCCCCGGGTATCTGTCGGAAAAGGTCCCCGATGGCCGAAGACGCCTCCCATGCCGGCCCAAGAGGCCCCAAGGTGGCCCAAGATGCTCCCAAGGCGCCCTACGACACTTCCACAATAGCTTAAGAGCGCTCCAACAGGGCCCAAGACGGCTTTCAAGACGGCCCAAGAGACCCCCCCAAATCACCCAAGAGGCAAACAACACCACATTCCCATATGGAAACGTACATTCCTAGCATATTCGCTTCTTCGGTCCTCGCAGCGTCCAAGACGACCTAAGAGGCCCCCAGTATCGTCCCAAGACGACCCAAGAGGCACCCGAGAGGGCCCCAAGACGGCCCAAGCGGGCTCCAAGACGGTCTAAGAGCGCCCCAAGACGTCCCAAGACAGGCCCCAGAGGGTCCCAAAAGGATCCCAAGAGAGCTCCAAGACGGCCACATAAGTCCCCCTGGACGGCACAAAAGGCCGCAATAGGGCCCAAATGCGGCCTAAGCCCCCGAGACGACCCAACAGCCAGAGAGGGCCCCCAGCCAGGTCAAAGAGCCCCTCAATGACCCAAGAAGGCCCAAGAGGCACCGAGTGACTTACAAAATGCCTCCAAGAGGGCTCTGGGAGGCGCTCGGATAGGCTCCCAGAAGCGTATGGGAGGTCTCGCGCCTACGTCCTGCACGGCGTTCCTAGAAAAGGCTTCCAGAGGCACCCGATTCACGATCCATGCATGGCGTCCGGAAGCCCGGCAAAAACACGCCGCGAGGCCCCGACGGGCACCCAAGACGCTCCGAACCCACGATCCAGGTCAGGGGTGTGCCGTCAAGGCGGCATGACGGCCCCGGCGGCAAGACCACGACCCCCCTTGCGGTCCTGTCCGTGTCACCGCTTGATTGAGGGGCCGCCGCATTACCCCCGAGACAGCAAATTTCGATTCGATCCGGCCACCTGGAGGCCAGTCGGCGCTGTGAAGGCCAAGGCCCCCCTAAGCCCCCCGCGGCCGAAGGCGAAAGCCACATTTTGAAAACGACCCACCATCAATCCGTATAACACTTTTGCATTTTTTGTCGGACGATTGTGCTTGGCGTTAGGGCTTGGTGCTAAAGCGAGAGCCACATTTAGACAACGACCCGCCCTCAATCCGCGAAGGTGCTGCCAATTTTTCAGCGTCAGGATCATAAGTGGTAAGGAAGTCTCAGGCGAGACGCCCGGCCCGCTCTTCCGTCTGGCCTCGCGGTGCGACAGGGAGGAAATTTCCCAGAAGCAAAAGGAATGGAGGAGGAGCAAAAGGATGAGGAGCAACAGCGTTGCGTCTTTTGGCCTCGGGGGAGGCCCTCAGGACACGAGCCTGTGGGAGCTCCTCCCCCGCCCGCGAAGACCTCGCCCAGCACCACCTCCACCACCAGGAGCAGGGTGCCACTCAGGGAGAAGCACACCGGGAACGAGCTCAGCTGCGCACGGCCAGCGGCACGCCGACCGAGGCGTGCACCACGCAGGACCGTGCAATCGGCACGCACTCCAAGACCATGCAACGGCGGCCGCTGACCTCGTCAACTACGAAGCTCACGTCCACCTGCACGGCAGCCTCGTCGCAGGGCTATCAGCTGGCTCCTCCACCATGTCGACTGGCTGGCCAGCCTTGAGCAAGCTGGGGTAGTTCACGCCCCTATGCGCCACCACGCTCCTCGGCGGGACGGCAGGGGCTGCCCGCGGGAAAGCACGCCCAGGAGCATGCTCGGTCTCCGCGGGGATCTTCGGCTTCTCGTGATCCTCCACCGTGTCGTACTCCTCGCACGGCTCGACTTCCTTCGACTCGATCGTGCTATCCTCACAAAAGACGCCGTCGTACTCAGCGACGGCGTGGTAGTCCTTCCCGTCGCCTACGCCCTCGGCTACCGCCAGCGGGTCCAACACCGCCAATAGCTCGTCGACACCAGCGCCCAACCGAACAGGATGTTTCGCAGCGCCAGGCTCGAAGCCGCCGTGTTCCACACAGCGGGGCCTTGGACGAGCGCTCCAGACTTGACAACGCCCTTCAGCCCCTCGGTCGCGCAGATCTTCACGATGCACTCGACCGCGTCGGCGTCGTGGGTCATGGCCGTGACTTGCTTGCTCGCCGCAGCGCCATCCAAACGCGGCCCGCGCTGGACCACGCGGAGCGCCGTCGCATCAGCGAACACCAGCTGCGCCCCTGGCGAGGCTGCATGTAGGCCGGCGTTGCGCCTCAGCCTCTGCAGCTACGTCGGCGCGCGTCCCGCCACCAGCGCCGCCAGAGCTGTCAGCAGGCAGCGGACTCGGGCGGCGACCTCGGAGTCCCCGACGATCATCTGGAGGGCTTCCTCCGCCTCCTTCCTCTGGCAGTCAGCTTCCCCCAACTTCCTCTGCAGCCGCGCGACTAGACGATCCGCCGCCGCACGGGCTCCAGCTGCGCCGCGCAGCGCCGCCGTCGAGCCCCCTCCCGCAGCCATCCCAAGCGGTCCCGCGCGGCCGAAAGCGGGCGGAACACACGACTTGAGCCAAAATGGCGACGGAGGAGGAAGAGGAGGAGGAGGGGGAGGGGGGGAGGAGGAGGAGGAGGAGGAGGAGGAGGAGGAGGAGGAGGAGGAGGAGGACGAGGGGAGAGTGGAGAGGAGGGCAGTGGAGACTGGCCTGGGCGAGAGCCCGACACTATTTTGTCTGGATCCTCCTCCCTCGTCCGTCCTCTCCTACTCATCCTTCTCTCTTTCGCTCCTCCTTCTCTTCATCATCCTCATCCCCCCCCTCTTCCGCCCTCTCCTCCCCGATCGTTCTCCGCTTGCTCCTCGTCTCCCCCTCCATGTTTTGTGTGTGCCACCTTTGCTCCTCATCCGTCTTCTCGTCCGTTTCATCCCCCTCATCTTCTATTCCGCCTCCGCTTTCTCGTCTCCCTCGTCTTCCTCTTCTTCGTCGTCCTGGCCATCCTGCTCGTCGCGCTCCGGCTTCTCAGGCCCCCTGCCACTGGGTGCGCGTCCTTCTCCTCCTCGACCTCCTGCTCTTCGCTTCTCCTTCTCTTTGCTTCTCCCTCAATCCTCCTCTCTCCTCCCTCCTGCTTCTCCTCCTCTTCCTCCCCCTCCTCCTTCTCTTCCTCGTCTGTTCTGCTTTGGTCCGTATTTGGCGCACATCACCAGTTGCATCTTGCACAGGAGGGTACCAAGGCGGCACTCTATTGCCTGATGGGCGAGCTGGAGGGCAACGGCCGGTACTACGGCTCCGATGCGGTGCGCAGCCCGCTCGACAGGAGACCTGGCCGGCCAAAGGATTCGCTCTCCTCGGCTTGTGGAGTAGGGGAATGCTAGTGCGGGATGCTGCTGCTGGTGCTGCTGCTGTTGTTGTTGATGATGATGATGATGATGATGATGATGGTGACGATGATGATGATGATGATGATGATGATGATGGTGATGATGATGATGATGATGCTGATGCTGATGCTGATGATGATGATGCTGATGCTGCTGCAGATGACGATGATGCTGGTGATGACGATGATGATGATGCTGATGATGATGATGATGATAATGGTGCTGGTGATGACGATGATGCTGATGATGACGACGATGATCATGATACCAAATATGATGATATCAATGATGATGATGATGATGATGCTGCTTCTGATGATGATGATGATGGTGATGATAGTGAGGTTGAGTACAGAACAACGACGACGACGACGACGGCGGCGGCAACGACGACGACGATGATGATGATGATGATGGTGATGCTCTGATGATGATGTTGATGGTGGTGGTGATGTTAGTGATGATGATGATGATGCTTCTGATGTTGTTGATGATGATGAGGATTGCGACGACGCTGCTGACGATGATGTCGTACTGATGATGCTGATCATGACGTGTTGTTGATGATGATGATGCTGATTATGATGATAATGGTGGTGGTGATGATGCTGATGATGAACATGACGATGGCGATGACGATGATGCGGATGATGATGATGCTGATGATGCTGCTGCTGATGATGAGGATCTTCGTGATGCACGTGATGGGGTAGTGATGATGATGTTGATGATGATGTTGATGTCAATGATGAGGATGAGGGTGATTGTGACCATGCCGCTTACGATGATGACGGAGCCGACCACGATGATGATGATGTTGTTGCTGGTGATGATGATGACGATGCTGATGGTGATGATAAGGATGATGAGGATGACGAGGCTGATGATGCTGATGATGATGATGCTGATGCTGCTGATGAAGCTGATGGTGATGATGATGGTGATGATGATGGTGTTGATGATGCTGATGACACTGACGATGACAATGCCGATGCTGCTGTTGCTGATGAGGGTGCTTAGGATGATGATGATGATGATGATGGTGATGATGATGCTGGTCATGATGATGGTGATGCTGATGATGCTGATGATGATAATGACGATGCTGATGCTGCTGCTGATGATGTTGAGTATGACGATGATGATGGCGACGATGGCGAAGACAGTAACGAGGACGAGGAGGATAAGGAGCAGGATGTTGCCGTTGCCCTTCGACCTTCGAGCAGGAGGAGGAGCCGCCTCTGCTCCCTGCATCTCCCTTGCCCCTTCTCTCTAGCAGAACTCCTCGCTGTGAACGCTCGTTCCGCATTTCGCCGAGAACCCCGCTGCTGGCCAGGCCGCTGTCCGCCTCCGTGGTCATGAGGCTTAGCTCGCAATTCACGGGGACGTTTTTCTCGCGTGGTCGTTCGTCGCAGGCGGAGGCAAACTGCAGGACATGGCAAGCAACACATCGTGGATGGCGTGGCAGGAAATGGCAGCAACGCTTCAGTGCGTATGCGTCGGATCATGCATGCGTCTGAAAGTGGGTGGCTCTTAAGGCGAGATGTTTGAGTGTGATTGCCTGAATGTGTGTGGGCAGTCTTGCTTGGGCTCCTCTCGGCGAACCGTCCATGTGGAACGTTCGTTGGGAATGACACGCAGCGTTAAACATGGGAGCTCGCGATTGCGCGGCCGCTTGCGCTTTCCTTCGTGGCATGCACGACATAGCAGGGCCAGCCGAGCACGATAAAGGACTTCGCAGGGCTTGTCTGCGCCCCGCGTGGTCTCGCAGGCACTTGTTTGCGAATGTTTGCATACGCGTCGGGGGCAGTTTTGGTGATCTTTGAACACGTTTGCTGGGAAAGACACCAACGCAGTCTGGCACACTGTGGAGGCGCTTTGCACACGTTTTTGCAAGCACTTTTGGAATAACTCCCCAGTGATTTTCGTCAGCTTGGGAAGTTTGGAGGCATTCAGGGGCATTTTTGGTCGCTTCTGGGGGCACTTGTTGGAAAAGCGGTCCAGATCATTCTGTTGGGATTGTGGGAGCGCTTTGCGAATGTTGGCGGGCAGCTTGGAGGCATTCCCGGGCATTTTTGCGTACTTTTGAAGCATTTGGCACATGTTTTGCAAACATTTCGGAGGTTGCATCACTGTGCGAACGTTTGCGGGCACGTCTGAGTAATTTTTGCGCACTTTCGAGTACAGTGGATGCACCTTTGGGCACTTTTTGGGACTTTTGAAAAAAAACGTTTGCGACCATTTGCGAGCCCGTCGGAGCCACTTGGTTGCTTCTGGGCACTTTTGTTCACTTTAGAGGCAGATTCGGGCACTCTCGGGGACTTTTGAAAACAAGTTTGCGGACGTTAGCAAGCACGTCGGAAGCATGTTTGTGTCCTTTTGGAGACATTTGGGCACGTTTGCTGAGAAAGTGCACCAACGTGACCAACATTTCCCGACAGTGCAAAGCGCTTGCAAGTGTTGCAAGATTGCCCGGAAGTGATGCCGAAGTGATTGCAAACGTCTGCTAAGCGCTTCCAGAATGCTGTTGGCAAAGGTGCTTGAAAGCGCCCGCACACGTTCGCAAAGTGTTCTCCAGAGCGCTCGAAGTATCCAAGAAGTGCTTCCAAAGTGCTTGCGAACGATAGAACATGTTCGCAAAGTGTTTCGACAGTGCCTCGAAGTGTTTCCAACATTTTTGCAACCGTTCGCAGAGCGCTTCCAAAGAGCCTCCAGGATGCTTTGTGGATGCTCTTCCACGAACTGTGCTGAACGATGCCCATTTTGCTTCCGATGCGCTTGGGAACGTTCGCGAGCTCTCTCAAAGTGTTTCGAAGCTGCCCAACAACTGATGGAGGAGGAGGACGATGAGGAGGGGGTGGGGGCGGCGGAGGGATAACAAGAGGAGGAGGAGGGGGAGGAGGAGGAGGAGGAGAAACGGGAGGAGGAGGAGGAGGAGGAGGAGGAGGAGGAGGAGGAGGAGAAGCAGGAGGAGGAGGATGCAGAACTATATTTGCGGGACTCGGACGAGGAGTAATGAGAAAGGGGTGGGGGAGGGTGGGGAAGAAGAGAGGGGGAAGGATGAGGAGAAGGAGGGGGGCGGGGGATGGTAGAGCGGGAAGAGGGGGATTGGGCAGAAGTGCGATGAGAAGGACAAGGATAACCAGGAGGGGAGGAGGACGATGACTACGGAAGGGTGCGAGCGAGAGCAATTGCAATGGAACTGACACTACTAGTCGCAGCGATAGCGGCAATGAGTTGTTGCTTGTCGTTGTTGTTGCTCCTGCTGTTTTTGTTGCTGTTAGGGGGCGCTATGGAGGCACTTCGCGAACGTTTGCGGGCGTTTGCGTGCACTTTTGGGCACTTTATGTGACAAAGCGCTCCATGAGTTTCATTCTAAACGGACGAGATGGGAGTTTCGGGCCCACAGTCGTTTGTTATCTTACGGTCGGGAACTTTGGCTTAGCGTGTCGCCCCGCCGTTTTTGGGCCACAACGCTTCGGAGCGACACGCTGTCCATTTCCCAGTCCTCGAGCGTCAATGTTCCGAGCCTCTCCCAGCCTCCCGTTCCGCAGAGCGGAGCGACACGCAATCCGCTGGCAAGGCATAGCGTGCCGCGGGGGCCGGCGCCCCGGCACGCACCATCAAAGTTCGAGGCCGTGACCGCCTGCCTGCATCGCCTCGGCTTCCTTGCCTCGGCCGCCGACCCTCGTGTTGTCCCCCCTGCAAGTCCTTCCTCCGCAGAGGGCCAGATGGCGCTCGTCGTCCTTCCTCCTTCCTCCGTTCCGGTAGGTTTCCTTCACTTCTTCCTCTCTGCCTCCCTCCCTCCTCTTTTTGTCTTCTCCCTCCCTTCTTTCCCTCCTTCCGCACCTCCCTTTCTCCCCCTCCCTCCCTCCCTCCCTCCCTTCTCTTCCTCCACTCTTTCCCTCCTTTCCTCCCCCATTCATTACCTGCCTCCTCTCCCTCCCTCCCTCCCCTCCCTCCCTTCCTCCCTACCTTCCCTCATCATTCCCCTCCCCTCGTCCACACATCCTCACTCCACTTCACTTCCCCTTCCCCGCTCTCCTCCTCCTCCTCCTTCTCCTTATTCTCCTCTTCCTCCTCCGCCTGGCCTCTGCACTCGGATGAGCCCCGTTTCTGCTAACATTCATCATGATTGTAACATGCTAACCCTTAGGCATCCCCTACCAACTTTCTAGCAACCTCGACCAACCTCTTGATTCAGCTGGCTATGCACAGGCAACCTTTGTGAAGCGTTGGCGGCTTAGCTTCGTTTGGACAACGGGTAACCCATTCCCAATTACGCTACTGCCAGCGCAACTTAGCTTAGAGGTACAGGAACGTTTGGTAAGGTGGAGAGCTGGGTTGACACCGTGTTGGGTAATCACTTACAGCGTATGTCATTCCCTTGAGCGAAGCCGCGCACCCTTCGCTAACCTGGTTAGCTCACCTGGCTAGCAACCTGTAGCGACCCTTAGCTAGCCTGCTTAGCAACTCTGGTACGCGTCAATGCTTGTCCTCTGGGCGATGCAAATTTCTGCCCTCGCTGGTGTTCATCACCCAGTCTAGGGGGGTAGCTAATCTAGTGAGCGGGGCTAGCTAACCTGGGCAGCGGGGTTAGCTAATCTGGTCAGCCCAGCGCGCTAAGTTACCAAACTTTGTTTTGGTTGTTGTGCTGTTTTTTTTGTAACGCTGACCCGAGCACATCAGCAGCCCGATGCAACGTTGACCCACACCCCGCGCGGTAAGCCGCGCTGAGGAGCCAACGAACACGCCAGCAAGGATGTACCAACCCGTTTTACAGGAGAGCCCAAAAGGGTGAAACCGCCTGAAATGCTGTGCAAGCCAGCCGCTCTCCCAAGCATGCTTACTGTTTCTCACCACCTACCAAACCACCCCAACCCGACCCGAAGGCCTCAGTTTGCCCTCCATTTCTAGTGGGGGGGTGGGTGGAACCCGTACCCCCCCAACCCGAAATTGAGGTCTTCGGGTTGGGTTGGGGTGGTCTGGTACAGTGCCGTCTTTAATACATGCTCCGCTCGCGGATCATGTATAAAAAATGCAGGGATTCAGTATTAAAAACAACGCTGAGTTCATGCATCAATTCATTCATGAAATAGTCATTCTATTTTTAAAAATCCCATGTATTAAAATCTGCCCTGTAGTCAGCTTCCCCCTCGTCTCCTAGCCTTTTTGCCTTCTCGCCCCGCCGCCCGGCGCCGGCGCCGTCTGCCCCGACGCCCAGGTTCACCCTGGGCCGCGCGGGGGGGGGGATTCGCGCCCGCCCCCTCTCAGGAGGAGAAAAAACACACAGACACGATTAATCGTCGATTTCCCAGAAAATATGGGAAAATATGGGAAGTGGGGGGAAGACAGAAATCCAGAAAATATGGGAAGATAGGGAATCTTTTTATTCGTGTGTATTTATTTGTGTGTCCCAGGACCCCTTCACTCTCTCCCACCTCGTCCCACCTCGCCCCACCTCACCCTACCTCTCCCACCTCATCCTCTTCACTCCCGCAATCCTGTGATCTCTGTCTCCTCGCTCCTGCCTCTCTCGCCACAGGTACCGCGGGCCGGGCGACCCGCCATACGCCGGCCCCTGAGGGCGGGCCCCCGGGCGGCGTCCCGATTTTCGACCTCCGGCGCTGTAAAAGGCGCTGGCAATCCCGCATTCCTCGCGCGCGCGCGAGGCTCGGCAGAGGAGGGGTTGGAGTGGTCAGCAGGGGAGGATGAGGCTGATGGCGGGGAGGAGGAGGAGCCGGGAGGCGGAGGAGCAGGAGCAGAAGGAGGTGGAGGAGGAGGAGGAGGAGGAGGAGGAGGAGGAGGAGGAGGGGCAGGATACAGGATACAGGACACAGGAAATCCGCGAAAAGGCGGAGGAGGAGGAGGAGGAGGAGGAGGAGGAGGAGTGGCGCCAGACCCGATGCAGGCCTGGGCGATTGAAGCCTTTTCCAGCTTGCCTTCGGAGAGCGCCTGATCAATGTAATTCGTTCTTTCGAGTGCTCTCGCACTGAGGATCTCAATGGAACGTGTCGACCCAACGCTACGGGGACTCAAGAGGCCATACATTCTAGAACACTCGGTAGAACGTGGATACAACAACACATGCAGTCTCATGAGTTGTACAACACCCTCAATTGTCTAAGCGATTTGGGGTGCAAGGGGGGTGGTGCCAGTCGGGCACGGCCGATCTTTGCGAACACATGTGGGTTGATGGACATCGTCGGAAAGCCAGCGCTCGTTTTGATGTTTCGATGTTTTCTTATTCTTCTTATTCTTCTTCTTCTTCTTCTTCTTCTTCTTCTTCTTCTTATTATTAGTATTATTATTATTACTGTTACTTTTCTTATTATTATTATGAAAAAACAATCGCATGCCGTGGGTTGTAAAGGAATAGTAGGTTGCGTCTCCCTGCCGCTGCAGAAATCGTTTTTTGTTCAACCTTCCTGTTGTGTTGGGTCCTCGTTTTGAAGAGAGAGAGAGAGAGAGAGAGAGAGAGAGAGAGAGAGAGAGAGAGAGCGCCCCGCGTCTCCTCTCCTCTCCTCTCCTCTCCTCTCCTCTCCTCTCCTCTCCTCTCCTCTCCTCTCCTCTCCTCTCCTCTCCTCTCCTCCTCCTCCTCCTCCTCCTCCTCCTCCTCCTCCTCCTCCTCCTCCTCCTCCTCCTCCTCCTCCTCCTCCTCCCGCCCCTTCTCCCAGCTCCCATCCCTGTGTCTGCCCTCGGCACGTTTCGTGGCCCTACGTAGAGGGAACTCCACCGAAGGCCCCCAGTGGCTGCGCTCGCTTGCGCCCGCCACACCCAGAATACGGCGGGGTTTTTCAGAAGCCCTACAGCTTCCCGAGAAGCCGCCTCTGTCTTCGGAGAGGCCGTGGAAACTTCTCAGAAGGCCGAAGGCCTCCTGAGCCGTCTGAGAAGGCCTGCACCCTCTGACTTCCCCCTGCGCTCGCTGCCGTTCCTCCCTTACCTTTGTCTGGTGGGGGGAAACACGTGCTCACACGTATCTACACTGGCATGTATGTGCACACCCTCACAGTGACCGGAGCCAGGGATCGCGCCTTCAACAACAGACACGCGCTGGTCCAAGACCAGCGGCTCCCGCATGTTCGGACACGGTCCTTGTTCCGCATTATGCGTTGGGCCCCCCCAGCATGGGAAGAACCTGCGCGCGCGAGCACCGCTCGCGATGCTCTGGTATTAAGAAGGAGCCGTGATTGCCTCCTCCCCGAACTGGGAGAGGGAAGAAACGAACCGTTACACCACATGCGCCCAAGGGGTGGGTGGGATTGGATTGGCTTTTGTTGGGCAACTTTGGAACTTTCTGGACGCTTCGGAAGCCTCTCGGAAGCGAAAATGCGGGAAAGCCGAAACCACTGAACAGTGGTTCCCTGGGGGCCTTTTGGAGGCTGTTTTGAACCATCCTGGGCGGCATTGGGGCTACATTGAAGCCTCTTGGGGCCTTTTCATGGCCATTTGTTGGCCTGCCGTCGATGAATCCCCGTTCCTGGATAGCTCATGGGATCTCTTGGTGCTCACCTGGGGCGCTGCTGGGGTTGTCGTGATTGGTCTGAGGGCCTCGCCAGGGAGTGAAATCATCTGATCCGATCTTGCCGCTATACTTCTCCTCCGTAGACCCCCAGGGGTCCGGGGCCCCCAAACGGTGCGGTGACCACACCGTGCGGTGAGTCGGTGGGGATTCGGAGTCACCGCACGGACTTGGGACTCGGGTCGTTCTCCGAGGACGTCTCGGGCGACTGGGGCCTCCAGGGTCCCAAGATCGTGCGGTGACGGACCGTGCGGTGAGGTCTTCGGGGATTTCGAGGTCACCGCACGGTCTGTCACCGCACCGTTTCGGGACCCCCAGGGGCCGCTGTGCGAGCGCGAGCTGGGGCTGCAGCCGTACTCCGAGTCTCCGACCACCGAGGCCCGGAGGCGCGCGGAGCCTCCGCGGTGCTCGCGGGCGCCATGGCTTCCCAACAGGATGCCAGTAGCATCCCAGCTGGAAGTCATGCAATTCGCTGCGCTGCCATCTAAGGCACTGCGGTGCCATCCACCCATGCCCCGAGCAGGGATGGGCGCTGCCCGATATGGGATGTCTTTGTGTCTGTCTGTCTGTCTGTCCGTCTGTCAGAATCTCTTACCATAGGGTGTAGCACGTCTTCGGCCCGTTGGGCCGGCGACTTCCACGACTCGGGTCTCCTGGGCTGGCCTCCAGGGCATCCTCGATGGCCCAAGAGGCACACAAGAGAGCCCCAGGACGGTCCTTTCGGCAACGCGCAAAGGGAGTAGGGGGAGGGGGGAAGGCTTTGTAGAAGGTGGCTGCTTCGTAGAAGGCACGGACCTTATCTACAAATGTAAGGCTGGCGCCTTCTGAGAAGCAGCCTCCTTCTAAGAAGCCTTCCCCCTTCCCCTTCCCCTCTGCGCTCGCGCCGCCCATCTTCGGAGGAGTCTTAAGACACGTGGGAAGTGTGGACTACGAGCCAAGCTCCCGAGGCCAGTGGAAAAGTCACGCCTGCGGCCCCAGACGCTCCTGGAAAAGCGCCAGGGGATTTCGGAGATAGAGTGCGTGGGGCGCTCGAACAGCATCAACACGTGGTAAGGAGAACTCGAAGGGACCCGAAGACATTCCGCTCAGCGGCTACGGCGAATCCGTTGACGGGCAGCGTGACATGTTGATATGTGTGTGAGTGTGTGTGTGTGTGTGTGTGCGTGTGCGTGTGCGTGTGCGCGTGCGTGTGCGTGTGCGTGTGTGCGTGTGCGTGTGCGTGTGCGTGTGCATGTGCGCGTGTGCGTACGTGCGTGCGTGCGTGCGTGCGTGCGTGCGTGCGTGCGTGCGTGCGTGCGTGCGTGCGTGCGTGCGTGCGCGCGCGCGCGCGTGTGTGTGTGTGTGTGTGTGTGTGTGTGTGTGTGCGTGTGCGTGTCTCTCTCTCTCTCTCTCTCTGTGTGTGCGTGCGTGCGTGCGTGCATGCGTGCGTGCGTGCGTGCGTGTGTGTGTGTGTGTGTTCTTGCCGCCTGTCCCCCTCCGCGAGCCCAGCATTTTGCTGGCTGCAGTCCAACCTAGACTGCACATGTACTTGCCGTACCTTGTCACGTGCCACTCACCTGGGTGGTCTGCGGACCATGCCCGTCGACCTAGCACCCCGTGTGTTACTTCGGTGACGTCACTGCCGCGTCTATTAGCTTTACCCGCACTGGGCCCCGTCAGCGCCCGTGGGTGCCCCGTCCCCGCGGCCCGGCAGGTGCCATGGTTCCCGGTGGCGGGGCTGGCCGCGCCAGCGCACTCAGGTGGGATCTATTTCACCTCTGAGCGGCCTTCTCCTCTCCTCCCCCGAGGCCGCCCGCTCTGCCGCCTTTTCCCACTCTTGCATGCTGGCCAGTTCGCTTGTCGGTTTCCCCGTCTAGCTCTATCGCTGGTGCAACCAGCTCTGCATCGCCGCCGACGGAAAAGTGTGTGTGTGTGTGCCGCATGCCCAATCATGTTGCTGGGTCAACCCACCAGGAAAATCCATTCGCCATGCCATGCTCGTTTGTTTCGCGCCATTGGCTCAAGTTGGTCAGCGCGTCTTCCCGATGGGGTTGGTGGCGCGCATTTGCTGGCGATGATCGAATCCTCGGTGCTTCGCGCTGCCCCGTCGGCACGGCACCACCTGGAGCCGATCAGACAACGCAGCATGCCCGTGCTGCGCAGGAAGTGTCCAAAGGCACCGCAGGCGCATCCACAGTTTGGCAAGGCACCCGCCAGGCTCGCATTCCTTGCGCCAGACAGTCCCCATGACCTCCCCACTTGAGTTCCCCCCCAAAAAATCCGACGATGTGATTTTCTAACACCTTGGACCCCCCGGAAATGTTTCCTTACAGCGTGGACCCCCGGAGATCTGAAACAGCGCGCTTTGTGGGCGCTGGGACGGGGGGGCCGTTCGACGCCCCCCCTCTGACATGCAACGGTGGGGAAGTTCGAACCGCCCTTCCCCCCTTCCCTCAAGGGGGGGGTCGAATCGTGGGGGGGCTTCTCCTTTTGAGTTGCGGGGGGGGAGACGTTCGAAGCTGCCCCCCCGTCCCCTTTTCCCTCCCCAGTGGCAACCGACGATGGCGATCGCCATCGCCAGCGCCCGCGCCGTTGGAGAACGACGGCGGCGATCGAGCTTGAGAAGGATGATGATGATAGTACCTGATCGAGCCCATGTGCAATTGTGTTAGAAGTTGACCGAGCCGTACTTAGGTTCACTTAGTGTTGAATCTACCCATGGTAAGAACCTATTTGAGATGGAATGAGCCTTCGTAGGATTCAAGTATAATTGGATCTAGACATAGTTGGATTTTATATGGTTCGATTGAACCCGATTGAGACGCTATAGCAGCGATATCGGGCGATGGCAGGATTCAAGTGAAGATGGATCGAGCTCTAGTAGGATTCAATCAAGGGGAGGGTCCCCTTCCTCCGGGTTCGAACCTCCCCCCTTTTGGACGGGGGAGAGGGGGGGGTCGACCCCCTCCCCCTTGAAAGGGAGAAGAGGGCACTGCATTTGGAGAGGCTGGTGTCCTGTGGTGGGGGGTGTTGTGGGGCGGTCCTTCTGGGGCTTCGACTTGGTTTCGCCCCCCCCCGGGGTTCTGACGTGTCCAGGGATTCCGACCTGTCCAGGGATTTTTCCCAACCCTCCTGCGCCTGGGTTCTCGTCT